AACGTTGTGTTCTCTTTCTTCTTTTTTTCAGCATGGAATAAACCTATTACTTGTTCCTTTGCAGCCTACGCATGCTGACGCAGCTACCCACCTTTAATTATGTATATACTATCTACAATTTGAGAAATAATCTTTTTTGAAGAAAAAGTATTAAAAGACCTCTAAAATAAAAATATATTATACTCATTGTCCATTGCTGCTGTTGCTTTTTCAAGAAACATTACCAAGATAGTTAAGAAAGACTTCAGAGTTATAGAAAATCTCTCATAAATCAATGACAACAATTTATCACAATTATTCATATTGCAATTCAATTTAAACAATTGTGCTCTTTCACTGGTCCTCTGTCATGTATAAATGAGCAATTCTAAAATAATTGGCATAATTTCACATCTCTAATTATGAGTTTAAGCAGCCCTATGATAAATTACCCATTGGGACCTTACAGGCAATGTTTGTATCAAGTTCTGCAACTTTAATTTCTACTGACTATAGCTGTATTTCAGGATAGGTTTTAAACTTTTTAAAAGCTAGTCCCATACTACATTTTAGCCTTTCCAATAAACATCATTACAAAAACATTTGGCTCTGTGCTATATTTGATTATCAGCAGGATTGTTATAACAATTAAGAAATGGGTTGTATCAAAAAGTTGAAATGGAGTGGTTTGAAAGGGCAGCATGTTGTGGTCTGGACATGACAGGTCAAGGTATTCTTGCTTTTGGGATTATATAAAAAAAAAACTACGTGACAAATGAATCTCTTAGTGATTTTAAATACACTAAGCAAAAGTTGGTAAAAATGCAGATTCCAAATCAGAAATTACAATCCAGTTTCACATATTTTTTTTCAAAAAGAAATGACAGAAATATATATTTTCTGCACCTGGTTTGCAATAAACTAAATATAAAACAGCTGAATTGAGTTACTACAGAAAAGAATGACTAAGTCTTTATAGTACCTGCATTCTCACTGATACATCTCTGGGTGGAGGTATTTTATTAGCTTATCTGATGAGGTGACTACACCCTGTAATAATGTCCATTCATGCATTATGTGGTCTCTCTTTTGTTTCTTCTCAGCTGTAGGAAGCCAGAGAGCCTATGCTGAAAAAGAACATAGTGGAGTAAATAGTATAACGAAAAATATACCATAATGTTGCAAGCACTCAAAGGAGGTAAAGAATTGACGGGTGTATAAAGGAAAGGTTTGCATTTTATTTCATACATAACTGACATCAAAGCTTCTCCTCTTTGTTCCTAATGGAGTTCTGTATCGCTAAATAAAGGCCTTGTTCACAGAAGGCAGGAGACAAACAGACAGGGGGCTCTGTGTGATGATGAATCTCTTGATCACACCCTGAGCCCTGGGTTTCTCACATAATTATACCCTTTTTCCTCATCTGCCACAATCCAACTACCTATGAAGAAACCTTTGAAGTTAGGGCCTTTCAAAACTGAGCTAAAGACAGTTGGGTTTGTATGGACTGTTAACTGTTGTTTTCTTTTAAAAGCATGAGTTTCTTGAAATGGTACTTATTCACTTTTGAACAAAAAGGCAATTATATCACAGCCCTCCACGTAAGAGGCCAGACTTGAAGCTTACAAAGGTTAATAAGCCATTTTTAATAATTTTTCAAATAAATAGTGGTGATTCTCTAAGGGCTTGTGTGTTAGCAGTTGATAAACTTGAAACTCTTTTCCTTTAAAAGTTGGTAAAAAGTTAATTAAGGCTCACGATGGACAACAACTTCCAAGATTTACATGCTTGGTGGATGTTTGGATTATTTGGTAGGATACTTGCAATTAATGTTACAGAATAAAGTATCCTGTGGACTACGGAGGAAAAAAAAGATTTTCCATTTCTGTTTACGTACATATTTATACAGTATTATGTTAATATATTACTTACCATGATGCTGTTGACCAACAACCTCCCAGCTGGATTGGAGCTGCAGTACCAAATGAAGTAAGCTACAGTATTTAACCTGCCTCTGATCCAGAACAAAGACTGTTCCAACTTTAATTTAAGCTAAAGCAGAAACAGATCTTCAAGGCAATTGGTAGCGTTTATAATGAGGGCTCCAAAAATGGGATTGGTGCTCATCATGCAGAAGACTAAAGAACTTTGTCAAAAAAACTGCTAAGGGAAGCAGTCCTTATCTCAATTCATATTCTGGACAATGCTGTGCATTCCAACACCTCGGAAGTCATCACTCACAAATGGCTGACATTGATGAAGAAATTAAACATTGCCTCAAGGGGAAAGTACAAGTGCAACCATTGACAGCCTAAGGAAATGAATGTCTGAAGATTATGACAACAGATCCAAATCCAAGCTAATGGTCTTTCAATCAATCATTATCCCCACCCTACTTTACGGAGCCGCTAAAACATTAACAAAAGAAAACACCTTAAGGCCCTAAAGAAGTGTCATCAACACTGTCTGCGGAAGATTTGTCTAACTCAAATACATCTAGCAAGAGTTCCTAATCACCTGACATCAACTTTGCTTAGTTGGCCATGTTGTCTGGCATCTAACACCATTGTTTCAAAAACAAAAAAGTGATTTTCTCTGATCTCAAATATAACATATGCTAAAAATCAGAGATGTCCTAAAGGACATCCTCACTTGAGGAAGTGCAACAGCAACATAAGCTCATGGGTCACTTGGACTGCATCAGATGGAGAAAGAGTCTTTTACAAAGATCTCAGCATATCAAAATCATAGACCGAGAGCAGCAAAAGATGAAAAAGCAGGAAAGGCAGAAACATGAGCATGTAGAGGTCAAATCTGGAAATCAGGACATCCCCACTCAATTCAGGAACACGCTGATGAAGACAACCATTATGGAAGATACTATTAGTGCTGATAACTGATAAAGTTTAATCATACAGTTGAATACATTTGTCAAAAGGCCAACATCTTCAATCACAGGAATAAAACTGCTTAAGATGAACAGCTCAGGGTGGATTGCTTAAATTTCTTTCCTCCTACAAACAACTCAACGATATTTGCCAATTCATAGCACGTTTCTGCCATTTGAGAGAGTACAGTCAATGATTATATCATGTATGTACTAAAGTACATACAGTACATCAGCATTTGTTTACCATATAATGTATCCAATGAATGGTTCGTGAAAGAGATAATATTGTAAGTCATCCAGCCTACAGTATGTAGCTAACGATTTGAAAAAGCAGCCATGTACTATTTGACCTTTTTGCATGGAAGTCATCTGATGTAAAAATGACCTAGGCAGAAGAATGAGCTTGATGTAATCCATATTTGAAGATCTCAAACCCACATGGAATGAAATTGTAAATCATCACAGTCTTTTCCATAATTGAAGATGGAAAATAGAGTTTAAAAGGGACAGAGTTCAGATCTGGGTTAAGAGGTTCTTACCCATCCATAAGCTTCGGTCTGATGATTTAAAATGAATTTAATAGTTAACACCTCATGGTCCTCCTCTTTTGAAAGCATCAACCTCCATTAACTAAACAGAGAAGAAGACATATTTTTAGATAAAGAATTATTACTAAATGTTTTGAGAAATCTTCCATTTCTGTGACTGAGGTACAAATTGTGTTTTTCAATTAGTTATCTTGTGCTTTTAAAAAAAACCCCACCATATTCCTTCATTCTTAAAAGTTGTTTATTTTTATTAGTATTCATGCTCATATAACTTTGTTTAATTAGGCCCTAACTATGTTTCACCAACACACAGTAAAAACTGCTTTTAATCTGCTTGCCAAAAGCAATAGAAATTTAAATTGTAGGATAAGGTTACATTATACATGCTGTAATATTGTACTTTTGTTATATTTCCCCTACTTTTCTGTTGCTCCTTAAACTGTGTAGTCACATCTAAATTATATCTTAAAGACCAAAAAGAAAAATGCAAAACTATACTCAGTGTTAATCATTCCCTGGTGAAAGTAGTTATTTAAAGATTGGTGAGTGTCCTGAACTCAGCTGAGTGGAGATATTAAACTCATTAACAGGTAAAAGGGAGAATTTGATACTCTACATCTCAAGATCATTTAAGTCAATTAATTAGAGAGTTTTGCAGTTTCCGACAGGTGACAGATTACCTACAAGATTAAGATGGTGGTGTTACTTTCTTTCCTTAATGCTGATAATAATAAAGTATTTAATACTGGCAGGTAACCCTTTGGGAATGTGTTAATGGAAAACATTAGTGTTTGCAATGTACTTTATAATGACAGCCATGTAGCAAACAAAAATGTCTAATGTAGCAAGTGTGCACTCCTAGCAAGTGCATGCTTAAATATTCATTATTCTCTTTTCACAAAATCCTGCAAATTATACTCTGAGAGGCTTTTAAAAGGAGAAGAAACGTTTAACTTCAAGGCATTTAACATGATGAAGTATTGAAGGTGTCATGTATTCAGACTGATCTTTTCAAATCACATTTGAGTTCACTGTAAGGACAGCCTCCTTTATAATCAGGGGAATTCCTCTTTAGCTTACACATCTAAGGGAAGGCTAAGAAAAAACAGCTCTGTAAAACTCACCTCTCTCTCTCTTTCCTCAAGCAACCCCTCCTCTTTGACAGCTGACTTATTCTCATTTAAATGTCTGCCTGGGCTGCACAGCACCTCTCCCTTCAAATAACTCTTCACATGAAGTAGCACACAGCAGGATGAAGCAGCAGGACTTGAACAGGATCGTAAAATCCCAGCCAGGTTACACCACTGGCAGTCAGTGATTTGGCAGATACTGGATTTTGGGCAACAAATATGCGCCTTGATTCTTTCCTACACACCTGAAGGCCAAAACAAAATCAATTAAGTCCATTAAAAGAAGCCTGAAAGAAAGGTCAGCTCTTTTTTCTGTTCATTAAACTGGACATTTACAGGCGGATTAGTTATTAGAATTAATAAAACACTAGAAGAGTGACAAAGAGCTAGGCAAGTAGCTAAACCAATGAAAAGGCTTGGCTTGGAAATACTGCTGAAAAACAACAACTTCCCAAAAACTGCGGTCACTGAAAGGTGTGTTTTCATTCTAATGGAAATCTAATTATCTTCTAAGCCTGTTTGTAACTCTCCTTGTTGAAGAACTTTAAGACAGAGCTGGAGGTGACATGTCCTTCAGATAAAGGCTATCATGAAGGGCTGTGTCAGGTTCCTTGCGGGTGTGCTGAGCTCCTGTTGGACATTAGTCAGGGTTCCAGTGAATGGAGCTCCATAACAAGGACCTCTGATGTCTACGCTGCTGCTGGTCTGTGCGCTCCTGTACTCAGGGATGAGAAGTGGCCTTGCTGGAGGATGGAAACCATGCACAGGTAGAACATTTTTTAGATGATTTCTTCTTTTTGGATTCTTTCTGTCAGGAATACTGGTATCACTTTAAAATAATGGGCTACATGTAAGAATTTGGAACTATTAGTGATCATCATCTCATCAACATAAGATATTTTTTTGGAATTCAAAAGGAAATGCTTGGGTTATCCATGTGTTATTCCTGTGATATTCAGTAAGAATTGCAGTAAATTTGTCAGCATTATTTTAAAGTGCATAGTGTTGCTCTAATTCATGAATCTTTCTTCTTTTTGCTTTTGATGTTTATGCATTGTCAGGATTGACAAATTTGGATTAACCTGTTCTGTATTCATTTATCCTTTGATGTGCTAAGAGCAACAGATTTTTGGTCCAATTCAGCCTTAAAACCTCATTTCAGATGCTCAGTAATAGCCAAGATGAAGAACTAGCAGAAATCACAACATGCACTTAAAGAGGACATATGGAGATATGGATATTTCACCACAGTGCTGTTGCTCTTCTGTCAACACTTGCAGTACAACCCATAAATATTGTGGCTGATGCAACACCAATCTGGAGAGAAGCGTGTTAAAAACATGTCTACAACAAGGGGCCTGTCACATGATTCCTTAATTTGTAACTTTGGTGCTAAGAAAAAATAAAGAATGGAATATGAAAACACATTTATCAATTGTAAAGTGGGGTATGATAACACAAAAACAAATCATTTTAAAGATTAACTGATAACTTTGGACAATTAACAATAAAAGAAAATAAATGAATTGTTGCCCCACTGCAAAAATTGTGTGATTGGGGTTAATGCTGCACCCTACAGTTTGATAAACCACTTTAAAATTGCACCATGTACCTTTCTACAGTCATCTGTGATCTTATTCAGTTCAATTATAGGTTATAGAATTACTTGGATTATTAACTGTGTTTCACTTTTCCTAAAGACATCAATCAGATGGAATCCTAAAAAAATAAGAGATGTCTACACACACTGTATAATTACATTGCTTCAAAGCGTGCAGTTGCTGAGGAAGATTTCCTTTCTCAAAATATTGATTAGTTTAGCAGAAGAAAAAAATTATACCCCCCCCCCAAGAAAGTAAGATGCCTGACAAAAGGTAATTGAGCAACAAAACAGTAAGTTTCACATATACTATCTGCAAGTGTGCATCTGTCATGTTGATCTGTTCTGTGATCTGTCTCATAATATCTCAGCCTAGATTAGCATTTTTGCTGATATTCTTCAGATGAGAGTTAAAGTGTTCAGAAGAATGGAAGAAGATCTACCATATTTCAAAACAGGTTGCCTTGTAACGCAATTTGAAAGACTGTAAACAGCTGTGTGATTACTACTATTGTTTCAATAATGAACCAAAAAGAGAACTTGATTCTGGAATTGTTCACTGAGTACATTAACATCATGACTTCCAAACGTTTAAATTACTTAAAATCCTTTCAATAGAACTGTTTTCCAGCTTACCAACAAAAAGAATGTAATGAAAATATGATAATGGTACTTACAAGAACTGATAAAATTGCTCTAGGAAACTGGAGAGCCCAGATATATTTGAAGGTCTAACTCTTTCTGATTAAGAACAAACAAAAAACAAATGTGGTAAGTTAAAGGTTGTGCTTCTTACCAGCAAGTTGATTCTTGCATTATACATGAAAGCTATTCACATTCATAGTAAACAACTTAACCCCACGAGCCCATCTAATAGTTACAAAAAATCTAATTAATTTATTCAGTCACACTTGGAAGAAGGTTGTAATTTGATTTATGTCAGATTGCATAGATGTAATTTACTTGCAAGGCAAGCATTGCAAACATTAGGAAGTGAACGTACAGATAGCAGACAGCTCCAGCTTTTTATTTCCCTGATTCTTTCTATGCTGAAGTTACATTTTTAATTACTTCCCAAAATATTTGGATGCAATCAAGTTACACAGAAAGAAAACATTCTAATGGAATAAGGCATCTAATTAAAATAGTCAGACACCAAGATTCTGGAAAAGACAGGTCTAATTAAAAAAAGCTGCCAACTTGAAAGATGGATTTTTAAGAGTCTCTTTAAATGCTTACTTCCCCATCGTGAAATGGCAAGAGCTAATAAATATTTAATCCCATAATTCATATTATCAATTAATCAGTTTAATAATAACATTTTGTTTAGTTTGTTGGACCAGTAAGCCAAATCTATAGATGTCTCTTGATTACCTACTTTGCTGTGGTTAGGCTCATCAGGGGAAGGTATTGGCACCTGCTATCACTGTTTGAAACCTTTAAGTAAACTTTGGAAATGAAAGGATCATTGCTGAATCTAATTGCTCTTATGTCCTAAGTCTGAGTAGCTGTCTCTGGCTTTGCCTGCCTGAGGATAAGAAGTTGAACAGAGCTTACAAATCACTGCGTCCACTTTGAAAATCACAACCACAAGATTAAATAGATTTACAAGGTAGCTTGGATATGTGTTTAGTATACAAAAAGGAAGACATACTGATAGCTTCCCACCTTTACAGTCCTGAATGGTTCTCACAAATGCCTTGAGACTCAAGACAAAGCCACAGATACAAGGGGAGCTAACTGAGACCTGTGCTTTTGTTTAGTGCACTGAAGTACTGAATAAAAGAATCCCAATGAAACATTATAAGTCAGTATTACCCATCACATGACTGGGAAGCAGAAATGAGTGCTAGTCAAATTAATCAAGATAACCTGTTCTAGATTGTAATAATTTGATAATCTTAGGTAAGGATAAAAAGGCCATAAAAAAAGAGAAAAAATGCACTAACATCTTTTAACTGGTGTTTGCAATGCTTATCTTTAGAAATTTGAAATATTTGTTTGCTTACATAATTGAGAATGCTGGTCTTGCATTATTTTGTATTCTCTGTATTTTGAATGCTATGTTATGTCTTTAAATAATGTTAATATACTTAGACACACATAGAATAAATATTTTTTTTATGCAGTGATATGCAACACTATATTCCTTCATAATTGGCAGTACTTTAGTTGGGTTTGTTATGGATGGCTCAGATTCAGATTCAGGTGGCTCTCAAACTCTGAGAGCAAAATAGACTTATCAGATGATGAAGACCACCAGTGTTAATGACAGCCTACTGTGCTTGCAGCCCTTCACTGTTTGAAAATGATGTCTTCAAAGCCTGCTTTTCTTCAGTTTCATGTCATTATTCTCCCTCTTGTATACTCAAGGTATTTATTTAAGATGCATGGGGGCAGACATAACTATTGATCTTGATCCCTCTGCTTTCCTTTTTTCACAATACACAATGGATAAAAACAAAGGCAATAATATCCAGCAATTTTCCTTTCTGCACTATATTACAGAAAAATATAAGTTGTACATATTATTAAAGAAAGCCTGCTAGATCTTTCTTAAAAGATCCCTTGGAAGCTTCAGTCTTGTTCTGTCACATAATGAAGGCGCATGTACCTTGCCTCAGGATGTAACTATATTTTTTAAAAACATGATAAGACAATATTACACATAAATATAAAATCCCCAAAAAACTAAAGAACATTTTATAGTATATTGTCTTTAAACAGTATATATTTTATATACCCTTTCATTTACTACAGGTCCCGAAAATGTTTGTATTATTATGAGATGTGGTAAAATACTATTCCACATATGTTGTGAAACATAGGTTTTATTTTTCTTTAGTTGCTAGTTTAAATAAGAAATTATGAAACTGAACAATATTTGTTCATATTCATATTATTATGACTGGTTCTCTGTATATGTTTCTGAAAGCTGATGTGAGAGGTTTATTTTCCTTTTTCAAGATTCTCTGTAGATCCTGTTACAAGGGAGCTGCCTTTGCAAAAATTGCCTATAGACTTGGACATTAAAATCAATCCTTAAGAAAGTTTTTGGAAGAGTGGTGTAAAAAGGCTGAAAATTGCTTTGCGGGTCTGTAGTCTGAGACACAGGCAAAAAAAATCCCTGTTGCAGGTAAAATCTTTAAAAACATGAATGCTTTAAAATGCTTATCAGAATCCCCTGAAAACTGCAAACAGGACAGGGACCTGTAAACTTATTGAGTTATTTATGAAAACTAAAGGTATATTACTAGCCAGTAGAGTCAAAAACATTTGACCCATTGGTTTAATAACTTGTCAACACAAAATTCATTCAGTTCTGGTAAAGTTAAATGCAGAGAAAACTCACACAGGGTGGATTCTATGCCTAGGGGCATTACACATGATGAAATAAAGACTCGACTCTTGTCAGCTTCAATTAATTACCTTCTTTATGAAGCCAGGATCTTTCCCTACTGTGAGCCTATACCCTGTGTCTTTCCCTCACTCCACCCCTTTGCTGTTTTGAAAACCTGCCTCTCCCTCTGGGGACTGGCGAACCCTGATACTCTTTGGGCTTTATGGTCTAAATGCAACAGCTCTTCCGTCAAACACAGAGGTCCTAGCTTAGCCAGACCATTCGTTCAACAGCATGTTTTCTTGTGGTACCATACTAACTGCTAATGCTTGAAAACCCACAGAGTAAAGGTATCTATATCTACTCTGAACAAACTGCAGTACATGTATGTCCAAAATTCAGCAGCCAGAATCCTGACCAGGTGTAGTGCAAGTGTTCACATTACTCCTGTCCTGGAGTCCTTGCACTGGCTTCCGGTCAAATTCCGTATAGACTTTAAAATCCTCATGCTCACCTATAAGGCTCTGCAAGGCTTGGCACCTCAGTACCTGTCTGAACTATTATCACCCTACTCCCCACTTGGCAACCTCCGCTCTTCAAATTCTGCCCTCCTTACTGTCCCCCAAGCCCGTCTACATTGTATGGGTGACAGGGCCTTCTCCTGTTATGCCCCCTGGAGCTCTGGAACTCTTTGCCCACGGATATCAGAGAGTCACCTTCTCTAAACTCCTTCAAATCCAGACTCAAAACCCTTTTCTTCAGAAAAGCCTTTACTTAACTGGTTCCATTCTTCACCCCTCTGCTCTTCTTAGTACCACCATCCACAG